TATCTGTATTATTCCTTCCATTCTAGCCAAATAATTTTCTATCTTAAACTAAAATAGTATTTAAAGTAGCATATTTGTTTAAAAATCCCAATGAACTCCACTTAAATGTGGGTAAAACTTGCTTACAAATCTTTAATGAAAATTAAACTCGTATCTCACTTTCAAGAAACACAGTAACCACTAGACTGTTATCCTAACAATGTAAAATATTTTACAGAATCAAAGGAGTATTAAGAATGTTAAATAAAGAACCAACATCCCTTGATGAATTCATCCATAAAGAATGTTAAATATTGTCGGAAGTACAACATAAGAATAATCATCATTTTTCTTCTTCTTTTTTTCAAAATAAATCTTATTTTTGTTGAATGTGAAAACTAATGGATACATCGACATACAGTACTCCGCTATCTCCATGATCGTTTTAACTCTAAAAAAAAGTAGTTGTGAAGGAAAACATAGGAGATCGTATATCATTATTAAAAGATGTAAATCATACATAGTTGTATATTTACTGTTACTATTAGGTTGTGATTCTAGTGCAACTTAATCTGTATAAATAGCCACAGACTATATCAATACAAATGTGATTTTACCATCTCTTTAATCATATTTATGCATTGGATCAAAGGGTATAATAATGAAGCAAAACTCGACAAATATGTTCATTTGAATACACCAATCGCTATTTCAGACGTAAGTCTTAACCATATGGATCCTTGGAAAAAGAATCCTCAATTTTTTTTTATTTTGTTTTTTGGTACAATAATCCTCCAATATTTTATCTATGCAGCAGGACTAATATTTGAGAACTTCGTTCTTGAAACTCTATTGAGATTGTGCATCATCAGATTTTTTTGCAATCATTCAGACCGTACTTGTTTCGTGGTGTATATGGACTGGACTCCAGCAACAGTCTTCAGCCCACAATAAAACCCAAAACAACTCGGGGCTTCATTTCCCACCGGAGCCCCGATTGAAATAAAAGACATTAATCGTATGCGTCATTCTCCAATTCTTACTTTAATGCAACATACCAAAAACAATCATTTTCAATAAAAAAATATATAATTTTTCTTCTTCCTTTTGTTGTATTATATATTATATATTATGTTGCCTGTTTTGGTTTCGGCCCATACGAGCCTTGACACCTTCTACCAATTTTGGATCATACGGGCAACAACACTTACAACCGGATGTTCAGCTCTGGACATATTATGTTGCCTATAATTCTAACGCATTTAGCATCTTTGAGGAAACCAGAACTCGTATGAGTTCCACGTACAATTGTGCACGGTAGACGACCTACAAAAAAATTGCCTCAATTATAATTGATTATTAATTCATATTTTGGTAAAGAAAAGATGTGCAGTTTGCTAATTATATGCATAAATCAAATAGGGAGGAACACAATGTTGTTATGATCCCTTACTCCCTCTCTCAAAATAAATATCCAGGTTGAACTTTGATTTTTATTTTATTTTTGAATAATTTGTACTGAAAGTGAAAAATTCAAACTAAACAATTATTTTGTGACATGGACGCAATGAACTTATAGTTATGTGATGCAACAACTATGGATAATAAAATACTCGATGATGTGTTCCCTCCGTCCCAAAATTGTTATCCAATTTTGATTTTCACTTTTCACCTTTTTTATTTGCAATGATTGTATACTCTGTAATATAAAACACTCAATAATTAAAATACTTTCTTCGTTCTTAGTAATTATCTAAACTGAACAATTATTTTGAAACGGAAAATATATTTTCCTAAGTAAAATGCTTGTTGGGATACACAAGAAACCAGGCCCAGTGATAACGAGCCTGAAAATTTAATGAATCCTAACCGACTTACATGTTACAACAATTAAGAAAACAAATACAATTAGGGAAAGGATAGTCTTTCAAGACCACCTCAAATTTTTGTTTATATAAACTAGTATTTTGCCCGCACGTTGTGCGGTGATATAATACTTTCAGAAACCTAAATAAATTGTCCACATTATATTTTGTATTTATAGAGTTTTTAATTAAATCGTAAAATATAATGTGGATTACCATTTTCGGACTTGGATAGTGTTTTACTTTGATAGTATTATATGAATATAAATCTTTGTGAAAAGATTTGTATAGTTAGAAAGACACTACAAAATAGTTTTACTGTTTTTAGTGATAAATCTCTATGATGTTTCACCTTTTTTGCTCTAGATCTACATCATTTGTTTCACCTCTTTTTTTTCTGATGTTTGTTTGAATTGGCCTTCCAACTTTTTTAATGATCACTTTTTTTAACTTTTTCTTTTTCTCTCGCTCGCTTTAAGATATATGAGTATGTTCTTTCAAGTTTTCAATTTCTAACACCTATCCTTGTCTTAGTTTTAGATATTCGGTTTTCTCCAATTGCAAAAGAAAACGATCATATCAACATTTCCATACATCTCAGAAATTAAGGGATACAAATAAAAAGAGACCTATGGCGATTGACCTAATCGAGGTCATATAAGAGATCATAAAAATATATATATATATATATATATATATTTAGGTTCCTTTTAAGAAAATGCAAGGGGAGTCATCCAAAATTTGAAAACTTACACAATAATGAAAATTAAAGTTTAATTGATACAACAGTCAAAAAGCTATTATCTCCATATTGCTTTTAATTAGTTGATTATGGTAACTTTACTATTTTTAGTATACTATATTTATAATAAAAGGTGAGATAAAATTCACGATACTAATCCAATTCATCATCATTATCAACATGGCATCATTAATAAAATTCTTTCTCAGAAATTATCATCATCGGCACTAATAGAGTACAAATCCACTTTTTAACTGGAAAAGAAAATGAAAAAAATAGCCAGAATAATAGTTTGTTCACCAGCTATCAGGGTTGTGTTTACAGAAAATTCACAACATCATTACAACACCTTAATGAGATATCCTAAATCACACCACACTGATATTAATACAAAAATTTCCGAAATTCAAGTGATTAAAAATTAGGCTAGTAAAGCTATCAAATTCATGACTATAACACCTGGTGATTTATGAACATGCAATTGAGATCGCTTGCTTTTTGCAATCCCGTTGGCCGATTTTAAATCATCACCGGATTCCAAATTTGTTATTTCTATTGCAGCATCTACTAAAAGATTCATCACAATAAGTGAAAAATAGAAGACTAACACTATAATCAATCTTTGACACCAAAATGCAAAAAAATACTCTCTCGATGTGATCATGTGATCATTTAATCCATTAGATCAAAGGTCTATATTTTCCAATCGAAAGCCCATTCTTCCAAACCCTAACCCATCCAGATCCGACTCCCTCAAGGCATGAGAGACGATAAGGTGACAGTGACGGTAGCCATGGTCGTGGCCATGGAGCCCGAAGAGAAAATTAAGAGACACAAACATAGCAATAACGGTGAGATGATGATGATAAAAAAAATAGGAAAAAAAAAAGAGATGAACCTGTTTTTATAGCGATGATGACCACCTCGCCGAGGACGTTCTTGTTGGTGTGAAAGTCTAGAGTTATCTAAGAATTGTACTACTAATCAATCACCTGACGAGAGGATTTCTTCTTGGTGGTAATGGAAGTCAGAGGAGGAGTTTGGAGAGGAAACATGAATAAGGAGATTGGAGAGAATAATGAAGCCATTTTAGATGTGGCTGATGTTTAGAGATTTTTATTATTTTTGAATAATTAAAAAAAAAAACAAATCTTCATGGATTATCTGATGGGATAAAGATCTCACGTAACAAATATTATCAATAATTTATTGTAAACTTAATTAATTATGATTTAATATGTCAAATCTTTTCCTTTTTTTTGATTTGATATTTAAATTTCAAAACAAAATTGATTAACAGGATAGAATCCAGATTTCATATCATTCCATTGAATGAATCAGAATTTTTACCTATATTGATTAGTAATCTGTTATTTTTGGAAATAAATTTATTAATATTTCAAATTTTTTGAGTTGGTATGCAAAAAACAAAAAAAAAATTAAAAACAAAACAAAACAAAAAATAAAAACAAAAACAAAAACAAAAACCTAAGCCTCATTTTTTTCCCTCTTGCCGCACACTTCTTTGCCGCCGCCAATGATCTCCTTCTTCAACTTTCTACGCAAAAAACAAACAACCACATATCATCATCATCCATCATGTAGTACCATCATCCATCATTATCTTCCCCATCATCCATCATCTATTAACCTTAACTTATTATACAACATAAATTTTTATTTATGATTTTACAACTTAATAAGCTAAATAACACAAACTAAACCCTATCATATATTTTCTTCTTCCCCAGCCGCCTGCCCACCTTTCCCAAGAAAATAAATTATGCTAAAAAAAAAAAATGCTTCCTCGTCGTCCAATGAATCTATCAGAGCATAGAAGTGTTACAGAGAGCCGGATATTGGCAAAGCTATCTTCATCAGGAAGTAGACTCATTATTTATCAATCATGAGTATCAGAGAGTGCAGACGTGGCAACTTTTGAGTTCTGTCAATCAAAAAAGCACCATGTAAAAGTTATAAATATGAAGAGGGAACATGACCGGAGAGTATGCCAGAGATGGGGCATTCAACACACCGCAGAATAATTTCCAGTGAGTATTTTGATTTACCGGAGATTAATCTTCGGAGTTATTTCACCGGTTATTTGGATGAGTTAAATTTCGAATAATCGGTGAAAAGGTAAAACAGATGATATTATGTGAAATATCATAAATGTTTTACTATTAAGAAATCTCAGTTATGAGGTGTAGTAAAACATTAATAAAAAGTAATAAGCCAATAAAATATTGATACAAGGACTACTTTAGTTTTTTAACGAATAAAAACTGGACACTGTGTTTTTTGAAATTATTAATAATTTAATAGTACGACATGTGTCTTGTGAGCAAAATTCCCTTAATATATAGTATGATAACCTAAACCATAGAAACTTCTTTCATCGGTATTTTATCCTTCAAATAAATAACCAAGCATGCAGATCTTCGTCAAAACCCTAACCGGAAAGACGATCACCCTCGAGGTGGAGTCTTCCGACACCATCGACAACGTCAAGGCAAAGATCCAGGAAAAGGAAGGCATTCCACCGGACCAGCAACGAGTGATCTTCGCCGGAAAACAGCTGGAGGACGGCCGGACACTGGCGGACTACAACATCCAGAAGGAGTCCACCCTCCACCTGGTCCTCCGCCTCCGCGGCGGCTCTAAGAAGCGTAAGAAGAAGACTTACACGACCCCGAAGAAGACCAAACACGAGAAGAAGAAGGTTGAGCTCGCCGTTCTCCAGCACTACAAGGTTGACGACTCCGGCGCCGTCCACCGCCTGAGGAAGGAGTGCCCGAACGACGGCTGCGGGCCCGGAGTTTTCATGGCTAATCACCCTGACCGGCGCAGCTGCGGCAAGTGTGGCCTTACTTATGCTATACCCGGAACCCGGGTGGTTTGATTGGTTTAATCGGTCAATTAACCGGGCGGGGTTTTTCTTTGTTTGTTATTATTCTAGTCGTAGTTCAGTAATGTTGGATTGATTAAGATATTTCCGGGTTTTTTTTTAAAAAAAAATTGGGATGGAATATTTTGCAATTTTGTGTTTTGGTTGATATTCAATTTTTTTATTTTTTTATTTTTTATGTTTATGAATAAAATTTCCCAGAATTGCCTTTTCATATAAAGTTTTTAATTAAACTTTGAAGTAAATAGATCCACTTAGATGTGCATGAATCACTGTTTCCCCTGTCCTCGAAAACGTTATATTGGACTGAATTTCATCAACCTAAAACAGTGAATCTGAAACAGCTGACTGTTAAGGTAGAGTGATGATAGTGATAAAGGTGTTTTACGCATTGTGATGTTTTGACGCCAAGAAATCGAGATGGTGGAGAGGTGCATCAAGTCAATGGTAATATAGGTATATAGGATGCATCTGCTGAGGTTGACCTGATTAATAGTTGAGCAAAAGTCAACTGACATAATGCAACTTGTTGCAATTATTGAATGCAATTTCTAAAAAGGAACAAATTTGTTGGAGACGCCTTCATTTAGACTTTTACTTTTGATTCAGTCCACCAGGACATGCAGCTACCATGGCAATTTCCTTGCAGTTTAAATGTGAACAGAAGAAGTCTCCAGGTGAGTATTATCAACAAATTCCAGAAATTTTAAGTGATTCTTGTTGTAACAAATTCCATTACTACTAGCTTGGATTAGTTTTCCTCTTAGATCATTAAGTTACATTGGAACTTGTTGCAAGTTTTCAAAATGGCTGAAGCCATTGTCTCGGTGGTGTTGGATACGCTTCGTGATTTGTTGGTGGAAGAGGCGAGTTCTCTGTCCAGAGTGTCTAGTCAAGTTGAAGAAGTTCGGAAAGAGCTAAAGCGGATTCTGTGCTTCCTCAAAGATGCTGATAGCAAACAGTGCAAGGATGAAATTGTTCGGAACTGGTTAAGGGAAATCAGGAGTCTTGCTTATAGGATTGAAGATCTTGTGGAGACTTATGCAATCCAAGTTGCAGCCAGGGATTCATCAGGAAAGAGTATCACGAAATTTCTGAAAAGGTCTGCTGGTATTTTCGGGGAGATTAGATCTCTTCACAAACTTGGAACTGAGATTGAAAAGGTCAAAGCTGATATAAGTAGCATCACAACAAGTCTTGAAAGGTACAACATTAGAGCCATTGATGGAGATGGGGAAAGCTTGTCGAACCAGAATGAAAAATACCAGCAATGGATCCGACAGACTTATGCCCATGAAGTTGAGGACTACTTTGTTGGAATGGAGAATGATATCACGAACTTAGTGTCGGTGATCACAGATTGCGGTAGGAATCACCGTGTTATTTCTATATTGGGAATGGGCGGTCTTGGGAAGACAACTCTAGCAAGAAAAATATACAGACATAAAGTTGTCCAGCGCTGTTTTGAGCGTTTTGCGTGGACCTGCATAACGCAACAAGCTCAAATCAAATTCATTTTACAAGATCTCTTGATCCAGCTTCTTCCTGAAAAGAAGGATGATGTAAAATTCATGGAAGGCAGGGAGTTAGTCCAAAAGCTTAACCAAGTTCAGATGGAGAGAAAATGTTTGGTTGTTTTGGATGATATCTGGAAAGTAGAAGACTGGAAAAGCATTCTTGCTGCATTTCCTCTTGCTCAAGGAAACAGCAAAGTATTGCTAACTACTCGGAAGAGAGAAGTTGCAGAGGTGGGTTTTCCCTACGAGCTCGAGTGCTTGAGTGAAATGGAAGGCTGGGAATTGCTTCAGAAAATAGCATCTTCAAGTGAAAGAACAGGTTAGAATCTTTGTTTCGTACTCATGCTTAGTCTAATTATTCCCTAGTTTTATTACATTTGAATGATTATACTTCCAGTCTTTAAGAGTTTTCCTATAGCTAATTAATTATTTTGTTTGTTTACAATCTGAAGCTTGAACTGATAGATAAGGGATTAAAGATTAAACAGAAGAGTTAAAACACCAGCTTAAGATAACAATAGAGCAATTATATTTCTATGTACTAGAGATCCTTTTCCTTTTGAATATACTCACACTTTCTGTCAATCTAGTTTTATTTAATGCCAGCTTCTAGGACATGTAAAGCACATTAGACAATGAATACATGGTAATAGTCATGTTTCTGAAGTTGTGTATCATTACTTTGAGATGGAGGGATTAAATCATTTGATGAGTTATATCCAAAACATCACTTCAGTATCACAATCCCTTTCAGATTTCAAGAATCTGCAACATTTTTCAAGTGATTTCAAGGATGTTGGGTTAGAAATGATATCCAAGTGTGGACGTTTACCATTAGCAATTTCCGTACTTGGAGGGATCCTTAAAGAGAAGAATTCTTTAGCAGATTGGAAAATGGTCAACAAACACATCGGTACATATCTTAACCATAATGGAGAGACAAATGGCGGATCAGTGGGCCGAGTTTTGTCTCTGAGTTATCATGAACTGCCATATCATTTGAAGCTATGCTTCCTTTACCTGGGAAATTTTAAAGAGGATGAGGAAATAAAGCCAGAGCATCTGTATTTACTTTGGATGGCCGAAGGTTTGATTTTGTCGCAACATAAGAGAAATGGAGAAAGAATGATTCAAGTTGCAGAAAGGTATTTGATTGAATTAGGCCACAGGTCCATGGTTCAGCTGAAACTGGATGAGTTCTCTCCAACCAGAAGGCTCATTTCGTGTCGCCTTCACGACATGATGAGGGATTTGTGTTTAGAGAAAGGCAAAGAAGAAGAGTTCGTAAAGGTTGCAGATTTTCAAAATGTAGATGGAGCCTTGTTGGATTCGTCTCTTGTCACTAATAACAATGCACATCGGTTAGTCATCCATATTGACAACGCGACTGCTGCAATTAGTATTCAAGAGGATTGCTCGAAAATTCGATCTCTTTTCTTCCTCAAAGCAATTAGTGGATTTTGGGAAAAGGAAATGTCATGGCCGCGGGGCGTGGTTATGAAGAACTTTAAGAAGCTGAGAGTACTAAAATTTGAGGGTTTTGATTTTGAAGGGCAACCGTTTCCCATAGAGTTGGCCAACTTGATCCACCTCAGGATTTTGAGTTTGAAGTACTGCAAATTGGATGAATTACCGGCTTGTGTAGCCGACTTGCCATTGTTGCAGACCCTTGATCTGCAGGTCAAAAATGAAATCAGAATCCCAAATGTGATCTGGAAAATGAAGCGATTGAGGCATTTATATTTTAACTACAAACATTGTACTAAAGGCGGGAAACTTCGACTACACGGTCTAACTCAACTGGAAACACTCTGGGCACTTGTAGGCGAGATGGATGAAATCGCAGATCTTCCACAGCTGAAAAACCTTAAAGTTCTTTATGCACGAGTAAACGATGACGACAACCTTCACATTTTGATTGATTATATCAACACAAGCGGTCATAATCTACAAGAGATACGCCTTTCCATTGGTGACTGTGATTTTGTTGGTTCAGACAATGGATATGATCTTTTGAAAAGCGTTTTCCAATGTGGAAGTCTTCATAGCTTGTACCTGGATTCAAAGTTAGTAAAATTTCCAGCTTATGAGCAACATTTCCTAAAAGGCCTGACTGTTTTACAATTAAGAGACAACAATATGGAAGAAGATCCAATGGAAGCATTAGGACATCTTCCTCAATTGCGATCCCTTTTATTAGGACATAATTCTTACATGGGAAAATACATGGTATGTCAGGAACTAACATTTCCTCAGCTTCAATATCTGGTGCTTTTCAGACTGCCTAATTTGGTGTACTGGAAGGTGGATGAAGGATCTATACCTAATCTTTCTCGTCTCGGAATTTCTCATTGTGACTCACTGGCTATGATCCCAGATGGATTGCAAAGTCTCAGTGGTCTGAAAAAGTTAAGGATTGTTGGCATGCCTCATGAATTTTGTGACAGGATTACAATGGTAGATGGCCATGAAGGAGATGATTATTACAAAATTCAACATGTTCCTTTAATTACAGTATTAAATCCTCTTTGAACTCGTATAGAATCTGTACATAATTGTTTCGACGTTTCGAGTGAAAGATCTTTCTATTTAATTATGACCTCCCTCCTATTTTTGTAAGTCGATAGTGTTGATGACATTTACTACAAAATCTGCAGAGTCCAAATTTAGTTTCTTAAGGTTATGAAGATTGGCAATCTCGATTGAGAAACAAATCTCGAAAACAATCCTTACTAATCGACTGTCTAGTATAGTATTAGATTTATTATTGTTCTTGTTCCCTGAAATTTGGAAACTACTAGTACTAGCTACTAGCTAGTCGCTTAGATGATTCGATTGAAGTATACGCTGTTTTAACTAATGAGAAAGTTGCAAAGCAGATCGAAGTCTAAATATTTCAAAAAAATTTGCAAAAAAAAGATTAACAATTTTATTGCTGATAATAAGATAAAAGCCACCCACAACAAATTAAATTAATCAACGTTGATGCTATCAGTTCTGATCATAACTAGTCGACTACTCGAAAGCCCAGGCGTTCTTCCTGCGGACTTCTTCTTCTTCCTCCGGAGTAAAATCATTCTTAATATTGAAAGTCTCGCGAATTTCCTCCGGAGTCATGCCCTTCATCATGTCCACGACTGTTTGACAAGTTAAATCCAGCAATTCCTTGATGTCCAGGTAGTTTGCCGCCAATATGAGGTCAAACAGAGTCCCCTGATCTACCTTCACAAAGTCAGAGTCGAATGCCTTCAAATCATCGTCGTTTTCCTTTGAGTTGGGGTAATGGCGTTTCAGATAGTCAATGACCTTCGCCAAAGTCTTTCCAGCAACGTTGGGAAGAGGGATGACATTGCTGGCACAATCATCTTCGATCATGTGTTTGATGGTTTGGGATCCGACCACCGCGGATTCCTCGACTTTAAACACCTCTCCATCCGAAGATTTCAACGAGATCATCTTCTTCGCCGAAGAATTAGCAGCAATTGACATGGTGGTTTGTTGAACTTTGAACGAAGGCTAAATATTGTTAAGCTAGAACGACAGGAATTGTTTTAGCAGAGAACCAAAATTGGGAAGGTTTAATCAAGACTAGATGTGGAACTATGATCCTCCTCTTGTGGGTTATTTATAGTCACGAGGAAGTACCCAAATTTGGTTCCTTTTACTAGTTTTGATCGGGTTTCATGATGCTAAGTGGGTTAGGATTCAATTTTCCCCCCCTCTTTTTTTAGGTAATATGGTATGTAGTTTTACATGGACCAACCCATGAGAAATTCTGATTTGGTTTTTGGATGTCTTACAAATAAAATTAATCCAAGGTTGACTGTAATAAAATTTCATTAAGTTTACCTCGGTCGTCTGTCCACTTAACGATAGCCACCTCGTTTGAAATAAAATATAGTAGAAATTTGACTTAAAAAAAAATGTTCTGCGTGTTCATCACCACCTGTGTTAATGAATTTATCACCACCTAGAGTTCACTATAAGTTTAGCTCCTAAAAGGCCTCGAAGAATATGTCAATGTGTTGCTTACCAAGAACAGTTGCAAATGCTATTGAAATTCATCGAGTATCATACTGAATGATGTCAAGGAGTACCAAAAAAGTTGCCGAGCACGTAAATGATGTTGAAAACGAGCAGGTTCTCAATTTAGATTGGTCTAACTTTTTTTTTATAGTGTGTTCCCCTTTAGAGTTTAGATTTATTGTAAACTGTTGTTACTTTCAAGATTGCGGACTATGTTTTGAGCAATTAAAACACTTATTCTACTGTGGGAAATTTCTTCTTCTTGGGCCATTTGAGAGCAATTTAAAATCTTCATAACAATTAAATTAACCTTATATAATGCAATGTGGATCTTCAACAATTTATTAATCGCCAAGATAAATATTGTAATTATATATTGAATGTAACTGATTTGTCCAACAACGATAAAATATGATTCAAATAAAAACTCAAGACTAATAAAAGAATTAAATAATCGAAAAAAATGTGTGTACAAATACATAAAGGAATAACATTTAAAAAAAAATTTACCAAGCTTTGAATATATTGAGTATTTTGTTGTTATTCTCATTTGTCCTAATTTGTTTAATAAAATCGGGAGTTATACTTACATGACTGTAATTTGGTAATACGGGATAGATTCACTACAATAAAGTGACCAAACCTCAAAAGGATATCTCTTGTCCTAATAGGTTTGTCCATTGTCCAATAGCACATTTGTGAGTATAATTAGGGGATGTCCTTTAATTGAAATCCTGGAGATTAAAAATTGCCATGCCGGAGAGTTTGACGGCGAATCAAATTTCAATGTTACCTACCTTCATAGGCTTAGGGATATTGATATTAGTTTACTTTACCATCAGACTGTTGAAGTGAATGGAGCCCCGTATTTGGAATCTGTAGCTTGTACATTCCACTACTAGGAAGATGCGACTACTTCTGAACGGCTCAATTTTCGTAAATCAGCTTACAAACACGTCACAAGTTTGTCCCTTGATCATAGGTTGCGAGATAGTTTTTCCGTGGACTACTTGACACGAAAATTCCCGCAACTTGAAGAGTTATCACTCGAAGGTTTCACAAACTTAACCACAATCAATATCGCGAGTCGGTCAATGAAGAAAATTCAACTTGTGCGCGTCCCCAGTTTGCAAGAGGCTTATTTCGATGTGCCTCGCATTGCTGTGTTTGATTACATCAACATTATTTACAGCGGAAGTCTGGGAAATCCCTAAGGTGTCATTTAATGGAGTTTCAGGCAAATGGATCTCTCGTCTAAACTTAGGATCCCTAGAAGACATTCAAGTGTTTCTACAGCTGAAAAAGTTCCTGACAGCAATCAAAGGGGCTGGAATTTCCATTACCCTCAACTTCCCAATTCCCAAAGGTTATGGTATATGATTTAGTGGACGCTCAACTATTCAATTCACTAGCTCACCCGTGCCCGGAGGTTCGAGAATTTTCTATAAAGCCAAGAGAGTTTCATGCATCGTCTACTCAAAAATTACTCCGGACAGAGTCAGCTTTATCCCGTGAGAGTGCCATTTTGCAGGGCATTTTCGGCATTTGTCGCCCTCGAACCATTAGTTACCAATACGATAACGAGGGCAGAGAATTCTCTGAGCTATTCTATGACACGTTGATATCGGAAAGTTATGATGCCGGCGGTACTTCATTTTTCCAGCTCACCAAGTTGTGGAAAGTGACAGAAATTGAGATCTTCCAAACTAGTATAGATACTAGCCTTGGTATCCACTACTTCAAAAGAAGAGAGAGAGGTTTACAGATATGTCAACCATTTCTAGAATTCGAGAAATTTCGGGAAAATTTAAAGGCTTATTTGAAGGAGTAAGAAAAGTGTGTCCGAAGTAACTATTAGGTTCAGCTTGGAATGGATCGAGAACTTATGAGCGATCGGGGAAAATAGTCTTTAACTGGCTAGTTAATTTGTTTCTATCATTTAAATGTGGTAGACTAAGGCTATCTCAGTTTACTAGTTTTTTTTTTTTTTTTTCAGCACTGGACAAATAGGTTTGTTCTTGGAGATTCTTTATTGTGTTCACAAAAATTATCATCAGTTTATAATGGTTCCAAGGATTTCTTTCATTACTTTTACACTGGTTGAATAACTGAGGGAGATAGGACCCAAGAACTCAGTTCTCAAACGAAAGATTGGCCCCGAGCATTTCTTTCATTCCCTTTAGACCGGCTGTGTCATGGTCCCGCGACCAAGTGAAAAGATTGAAATATTCACCTCATATTTAAATTAGTTGTCTTCTGCTTTCTAGTATGTATCTATGGGGGGGAAGATACTGTTGGGGTAATGCTCCAAAAATGCTAAATCAATAAACAAATAAAATACTTGAGTCGTGCAAAATGCACTGTCTTAAAGAAACTATTTCGATGTAACGAAATTTTCTTCCAAGATAAAACAAGCCTTCCTCTTTTAAGGGTTAGAGGGCACATGAACTAACAAGTATATAGATCCAATATTTGAAAACTATTTGAAAGTAAAGAGAAAGAATCAAGAAAAATTTACTCGTGAGGGTTGTTTCAAGAAATGAGAAATTAGGCTTAAAGAAAAGTTTTCAGTTTTGAATGGAATACCAAATGACTTCTGATGACTACTATTTATAGTGTAGAAAACACTTGCACAAAAGCTTCAATGCGAAGGTTACCACTTCAATTAAATGTGAAACCGTAAAGCTTTGCCTGTTAGGAATTAACCATTTAATGACACCATTAAAGTATTCAAAAGTTTTATTCCCTTTAAGGAACTAAAACAGAACACCCAGATTGCTTTCAATAGTTAATTAATGAATCAAAAAATTCAAGCAATCAACCTCATCTTTTGAAATAAACATTCGTAAATACCAACAAACCCCCACATATTTCAAAAAATTTTTAGTAAAACAAATGTCAGATCTATAAGGTTACAACGCATTAGTTTGGTGTCTTTCGGACTTGAACCAAACCTAGATCGATAGAACATGGCATACAGAATCACTCGTGAAATAAATTTTTTGAACCAAAAAATTCTTGGTTGTATGACAGAGGTTTTACCAACCACATTGCAACCCACAACTTGTTGTCAACGCGTTTTATGCACATTATTTCGGCCGTGCGCGTGCTTGGTAGTTCATGAGAGCTCCAAGGATTCGACCAATAAAACCCTATAGGAGCGGCCTCACTCCACTCTCATATAGGTGTTTCATCAAGTACACACTGCTTTAAATATACCATCCATAAGGAATATGAAATCATTAAGAGTTTAAAACTCATCCCTCCAATATAATAGCAGTTAAACCACTTATCACAAAAAAGTGCAGCAGAGCCAATATTGACTTGTTATAACCCTTTGAACCTAATTCATGGGGTCTCCAATCACATAGGTTGGGTTACCATCTTTATTGACTTCAAGTTGGTCTAAGCCCCATCTCATATGAGGTTTGAAGAACTATTTCTCTTTCAACAGGTTTAGTCAGTGGATCGGCCAAATTAACTTCTGACTTCACATACTCTATGGAAATAATTCCATCTCTGAGCAACTGTCTCACAATATTGTGTCTCAACTTTAAATAACGTCTCTTCAGATTATATGATTATCCTTTCTCAAAGGGATATCAGTTAAGAAAATTCTTAACCACTCAGTCTCAGAACCAGCCATCTCCAGAGCTATAAACTCTTACTCCATAATGGACCTAGCAAATAAAGTTTGCTTGGCTGATCTCCACGTTATTGCACTACCACCAAGGGTGAATACATAACCACTAGTGGATTTCGTCTCATTTGAATCAGAGATTCAATTAGCATCGCTGTAACCCTCAAGAACAACGGGAAATCCATTATATAGGATACCATAATTAATGGTTGCTCTCAAATATTTCATCAGTCTCTCTATTACAGACCACTGTTCACGGTTAGGATTATGAGTATATCGACTCAGCCTACATACAACATAAGCTATATCAGGTCTCGAGAAGTTCATCAAGTGCATCAGACTCCCAATAATCTGAGCATACTTAGACTGACCAACTAGGTCACCACGATTTTTTTGCAAATGAATGCTAGAGTCATAAGGAGTACTCACAGGTGTCACCTCAAAATAATTTAACTTCTTAAGAAGTCTCTCAACATAGTGTTCTTGTGACAACATAATACAACCATAGAAATCAACATAATGCAACATAATACAATCAAACACATTATCATCACTTTTGAAAATAACATTCAATTGTAGGTCTTTGAACCAACATATTCCTTTTTTTTATTCAAACAATATCAGTTTAGCAAAGTACCGCCAAACTTTTAAATATTTCAATTAGGTCCATAACCCCTCAAAGTTAGTTCAATAAGTGCTTTGCTTTGTATTTTATGCAAACGACAAGCTGATATAAATTCATTTCATAATTTATCATATAAAGAAAACTAACTTGTAGAGAACTTGTCCTCTCTTTGAAGTTTGTATTTTCTTTAGAGCTAGATAGACAATTATGTAAACAAGAATAAATATGAGTTCTCTCTTTTCGTAAATCATCTATTTTTATTGAATAGGAACTCATTTTTTTTAACATGAATTTAGTAATTCATCTATAAGAAATCTTAAAACAAATTAAACCATACAAGTATTGCAATATAACTAGTCTCATATTACAAGTCTATACTACACACATATTAGTTTAATTTTGCGTATCATGCCTCTAGGAATCAAATTTGTTTCCATTCTCAATATTCTCAAAATATGTCACTGCAATATTTAATTTTAAGCAATGAGACAACATGATATGTTGTAGTCATAGAGGACAACTGCAAGAATACCAACTTTAGTTATATACATATAATCGTATTTTTTTTCTCCGTCCATGAATCACAATGATTTCAAAGAAGATCAAGTTAATAAAAATCCTAAGCATTTTCAATTTGACCATCATAACAATAAAGCAATAAATATTGTCCCAACCGTGTCAACTTAACAATGGTTATTCATTGACCTCCAAAAATGATGCCAAATTTTCCCAATAACAGTTTTAGCTCTGCTGATGTTTTCTCAATGGTGCATTATAGCTTTTGCAAGATTCTAACTTTGATACTTTCTTTTTTGAACAATTATCAAGAGACACGCATGATAGTTTTTCGAATATGTATTGCATTACAATACTCATTAATAGACCTTTTGTATTAATAATAAAAACAAAGCAGTATGCATGCACCATTATATAATTTAGTAAATCCAAAGCACATCACTAGTCATGCATCATTAAATTTAATCAACGAATTTTAAAACTCAGGAAGACTCAAAGATAAGCATGCAACTAATCAATAATACGGTAAACTTAATTTGTCATACCAGTTTATCCATATTGTGTTTACCTTTAAGACACAACCTTTCTCACCTTTTCTTCATAAAATAAATTGATGCTTTTTCACTACATGGAAGACTTTTTCTCGTAAGAAAATGATTTCACACACCTTCAATGAACTTAGCATTAGCTAGAGTAGCAAAATAGCATCACGGGTTAATTTAGCATTAGCTAGAGTCACATATAGTTTCTTTAGATTGATGGGGTAATGTTCCAAAAATGCTAAATCAATAAACAAATAAAATACTTGAGTCGTGCAAAAGTACTGTCCTAAAGAAAGTATTTCGGTGTAACGAATGTTCCCCCAAAATAAAATAAGCTTTCCTTTTTTAAGGGTTAGGGGGCACATGAACTAACAAGTATATAGATCCAATATTTGAAAACTATTTGAAAGCAAAGAAAAAGAATCAAGAAAAATTTACTCGCGAGGGCTATTTGAAGAAATGAGAAATTAGGCTTAAAGAAAAGTTTTCAGTTTTGAATGGAATACCAAATGACTTCTGATGACTACTATTTATAATGTAGAAAACACTTGCACAAAAGCTTCAATGCGGAGGTTACCACTTTAATTAAATGTGAAACCGCAAAGCTTTACCAGTTAGGACTTAAACCATTTAATGACACCATTAAAGTATTCAAAAGTTTTATTCCCTTTAAGGAACTAAAACAGAACACCCAGATTGCTTTCAATAGTTAACTAATGAAAGAAAAAATTTAAGCAATCAACCTCATCTTTTGAAATAAACATTCGTAAATGCCAACAGATACTTCTTGGTATAACTTCGATTGTCTCACCAATTTCGGTTTTTAGTAGTTGAAATAGATCGCTTCTGATGTTATTTCTTCGCATAGTTGTAATGGCGCAAATGTTTGTGTCAATGTACTAATTTTCTCTATTTCCAAACAGTGAAGTTTAGCTCCAACTTTGAATGTTACAAATTCCATTAAAATGGGCTGCTCTTGGTCGGAGCTAGCCGAAATTAGAGTTTCGCAATCGCGAAAGCCATTCTCGGCAAAATTATTCGTAGCACCAAAAAAGAGCTTACTAATGCGTCGAGTTTTCGTTATACTTGTTGAGAACAAGTAAGAACCAGACAAAATCCAAAACAAAATTAAAGGCTGAAATAAATAAAACTTTCATAATGCTATATATATATATATATATATATATATATATATATATAAACTACTTTGACAAATTCTCCAATAAAAAAAATAATCAAATTAACAAACAATCATTCTTCCTCCGGGGTAAAATCACTCAAAGGCCCAGGCGTTCTCCCTGCGAACTTCCTCTTCTTCCTCCGGAGTAAAATCATTCTTAATGTTGAACGTTTTGCGGATTTCTCCGGTGTCTTCCCCTTGATCATATCCGCCACTGTTTGACACGTTAAATCAAGCAATTCCTTGATGTTGAGGTAATTGGCAGCCAAGATAAGGTCAAACAGAGTCCCGTGATCTATCTTCACAAAATCAGAGTCGAACGTCTTCAAATCATCGCCGTTTTCCTTTGGCTCGGGGTAATGGCGTTTCAGTTATTCAATGACCTTCGCCAAAGTCTTTCCAGCAATGTTGGGAAGAGGTATGACATTGCTCGCACAATCGTCTTCGATCATGTGTTTGATGGTTTGTGATCCGACCGCCACGGATTCCTCGACTTTGAACACCTCTCCATCCGAAGATTTCAGGGAGATCATCTTCTTGTCTGATGAATCAGCACCAATCAACATTGCAATCTAAGAACTTTGAAGGAAATTTCAATAATATTAACCTTAGAGTGGAAGGGATCGTTTGAGGCAGAGAACCAAAAGTTGAGAAGACTGGATGTGGAACTATGATTCCCCCCTCTTGTGGGTTATTTATAGTGCTTCAGGAAGTACCCTAATATGGTTCCTTTTACTGCTCTTGATCGGGTAACATGGTTTGCAGTTTTGCATGGACGAATCCATGAGAATTTCTGATTGGTTTTAAAAGAAATTCATTGTTGTAGTGATTGAACAAATTAATCCACAATTGAGTCCCCAGATTCACTTCTTATTTAGTAATGTAATCTCTGTTTGTTTCATGTATCCTAGTATCAAATGGTTATGGAACTCAAGGAATTAAGTAAGATGATTTCAAAAAAAAATTCCCCGCATTCTTGTTCTGTTTCAAATGAATAAGATGTTTTGCTGAAATTGGCGACGGAGTTGAAAAGGGAAAAGCGATAAGGCTCTGAATTGGAATTGGGTATTTTTTATTATTTTTTTTCTCTCTGGTGCAAATCAGCGAATTCTAAAATTTTTTTCCCAAGGGTCTTATTTCTTTGCTGTTTCTTTTCCTTTTTTCTGATTTATGATCACATACAACTTAATAAATAAATGTAACGTATGTATGATTGTATGTAACCTCTATAGGAAGCTTTTTGTTTGAAAGTTGGACTGATACCCTGGAGAAGTTTCAAGTGCTTTAAAGGATATGGATTCTTCGGGGAAAAAAAAACTCCCATTTACCACATCAACAAACCAAAAGCAAAAATAAAGTTGTGAAAGTTTTTCGATATCGTAAAATAATCATATTTTACCTATCAAAAAAAAAAACAATCAGATTTATCTCTAGTAGTTAATCACTCGCTTAAAGTTAATTAAAATTTATCTTGGTAATTTTTTTTAAAAGAATCCGGTAAGATTACCTAGCAGGTCAAACAACATCCTTCAAATCATTATTAGTCGTCTCCCTTATCTTCTGATGAGATTCCTTCAAAAGCTCCCGAAATTTCTCACGGTTGGATAAGGGTTGAACGAATCGATATAGTCGCCTTTTTCTCGAGACTTAGGTGCGACAAAGATCGGCAGTTACACTGAGTTGAAAGATCTCTACACTTTTCACATTCCACAACTTGGAGAGCGGAAGATTTGGAAGGCTTGTCGCACGATTACTTCTTGAAATCAGGTTATCATAGATTACCTTGTGATAATCGTTGTCTAACCACTTGTATCGGAATGTCATGGATTGAGACCTGAAAATAGAAAACAATCCATGGAAAAATGCACAAGCTGATTCTGAACAACCATCAACCCAACGCTGATTTATAATAAATTCTTGAAGCTCTGGTTGGTTGCCTATAGACAATGATGTGACATTCTCTCTCGACCTAGCCACGTCCAAGCCAGAATCTGCAATGAAGTCAACTGTCATCGAAGTTTTAGGTCTTTTGAATGTTGTCACGAATTCCTTGAATTTTACTTACCACGAATTATCCACATCATGTTGACATCCTAGTTTATGCGAACAATCCATTCGGTGTTTATACCCTTAAATGAGAACTCGGGAAAATCAAGCCCTCTATAGTGGTAGTATTTAACTTTGATATTCAATAACATTAACATCAGGCACATCAAATTTAGCCCGCTCTAATTGCCAATTCTCCACCAGTTGTATTTTCTTCAACGACTGACTTGACACATTGAGTGTACACAAGTTGAAATAACCTTGGATGGATAACTCTTCCAGTTCCAGGAATTTGCGCCCCCACCCATCATCAATTGACAAATTGCTGTCCATTCCATAACTCAGGAACAAACTTTTGAGATTCCAGTATTCAGGCTGATGAAAATGAAGTCCTTTAGAATCAGTATTGTTTGAGTTGCTCATCATTTGATGTATAATCCCCTATGATTTGATTTACCACTACCTGGGAATCACTAAAAACATGCAGTCTTTGAACTCCCAACGTTGGAGGCCTATTCAATCCTGCGATCAATGCCTCATATTCAGCCACATTGTTAGTAACTAGGAAGTCCAATCTTTGTGCGTAAGTATACTCCGCATCATATGCTTTCATATTCCCGATCTCGGGATCAGCTGATGGCTTTGCCAATATGATACCGGCTCCTCCTCCATGTCGCAACGAGAGCCGTCGACGTATAACGTCTAGGCTCGAGGGTTAGCTGTGACGCAGGTAGTGGGTTGATTCTTGGGTGTCGCCACCTCCGGAATATCAGCAGTTCGAGGCATCTCTACAAGAAAATCTGCGAAAGCTTGAATCTTGATTGCTGTTCTTGGCTTATACTCGATATGGTGTTCTCCCAACTCGACTGCCCACTTCATCATTCTATCGGAAGCTTCAGGTTTGAGAAAGACTTGCTAGATAGGCTACTCTGTTAACACTCTTATTGGATGTGCTTGGACGTATGGGCGTAAGCGTCGAGTAGCCAATATTAAGCTCAAGATAAGCTTTTCCATGGGCATGTATCGCGTCTCAGCCCCTTGCAATACTTTACTCATGAAGTAAACATGGATCTCCTTACCATCCTTGTTTTGAAAGAGGACAAGTGATATGGCTTTTTCTCGAGCAGCAAGGTACACATTTAGGGTTTCTCTCGGTTCAGGCTTGGCTAATATGGGTTGCTGCTTGAGGTGCTCCTTTAGCTCCTGGAAGGCCTTTTGGCATTCCTCATTCCATTCAAACTTTCTGTCTTTGCTGAGCGTGTGAAAGAATGGGAGGCTTCTCTCTGCGGCTTGAAAGAGGAACCTATTCGAAGCAGCTAGGGATCTTGTAAGCTTCTGAACCTCTTTGACATTCTTTGGAGCTTCCATAGCTAGGATAGCCTCGATTTTCTCTCGGTCAACACTAATTCCATCTTTGGAGACGTGGTACCCCAGGAACTTGCCCGATCCTATGTAGAAGGCGCATTTCTTCGGGTTAAGCTTCATATTTATTCTGCGGAGAATTGAGAAGATCTCGCGTATATCCTCGACTACCTATTCATCTTTGTTACTTTTGATTACCATGTCATCCACATAGATCTCAACATTTTTGCCGATCTGGTCATGGAATGCTCAATTGACGAGACGCTGATAGGTTGCACCGATATTTTTCATGCCAAAAGACATCTTGTCATAACAATAGACTCCAATCTTGGTAATATAGGCGGTCTTTTCGGTGTCTTCTCGTGGCATGAGGATTTGGTGGTATCTTTTATATGCGTCGAGGAAATTGAGGGTTCTATACCTTGTGATACCCTCGACCATCTGATCTATGACAGGTAATGGATAACAATCCTTGGGACAATGCTTGTTGAGATCTGTGTAATCTTGGAACATGCACTAAGAGTTATTAGGTTTTCGTACCAGGACTGGATTAGCTAACCAAGTTGGCCAGAGAATTTCACGGAAGGATGTTGGCATGACTAGCTTCAATGTTTCTTCATTGATGACGTCGTTGCAATCTCGAGCGAATATTCTTTTCTTCCGTTGCACAGGTTTGACATGAGTATCGATGTTCAGCTTATGTTCAATAACATCTCCTAGTACTCCTACCATATCTGTAGGTGACCAAGCGAATATATCACGGAACTCGCTTAGCAAGGCGATTACCTCAGCTAGCAACGTTCCTTGCAAAGATGCCCCTATCTGGATGGTCTTGGAGGGGTCCTTCTTGTTGAGGACCAACTCTTGGGTTTTACTGCTAAGTGGCAGCAAATCACCAGCATCGTAATCTTCCGACGGCTGGTGTATCGATGTCTGTTGGATCAAGTAACATCCCAACATAGGAGTGCTCGTTTTAGACATTATGGTCTTCTTCCCACTTTTGATTGTTGTGAGCAGGTATTCTCGAGAACTGCGTTGGCATCCTTGTACCACTCCGACTCCGTATTCAGTTGGGAATTTCATTACCAAATGACAACGAGACCAAATTGCTCGAGCTTGGTACATCCATGGTCGTCCAAAAATCACATTGAATGGCGAGGGTGCATCTATCAGGGCAAAGTCCATGGTTAGTGTAACCATCCTGGGATGTGTCCCTACCGTGATGGGGAGTCTTACAATTCCTGTTGGGATAATGGTATGACCTGAAAAACCCATTAGAGGCAATGTTGCTAGGCAGATATCGGGGTTCTGGATATTCATCTTCTTGAAGCAACCGTTATATATGATGTCGACTGCACTGCCGTTATCCACGTAGACTCGACTTACATGTACATTTCTGATTATTGCCTCGATAACCGTAGCATCACTGTGAGGACAGACATCCGGGGACCACATCACTGTCAGTAAAGACTATGGCCTCCGTCCCCTTAAACCTCTTGTGACTTGGTTCTTGGGGAGGAGTTCTTCTAATGGTCCGTGCTGAGATTTTCATCACCGTAGTGGATAAAACTTCAAGAGAGGCTCCATAAATGGCTCCTACCTGATGAGTGATTTGCTTGGCAGGATCGGCCAGAGGAACCTGCTGAATCGATTGTGGTGCTCCTCTGATAGCCTATTGGGGAGGTTGCTGTGTATTATTCCTTGGTTGACAATTATTTCCTCAATTTTCTCCTCGAGGGCCTCGGAAACTTCGTCTAGGAAAGCTTTAAGGAGCTGGTTGAGGGCTTGCTATTTCTTTGTCGACAAGATCCTTGCACATATTGCTGAAATTTCTGAGCTTTAACTCCATTCTCGATCTCTCTCTTCAATTCTCGACACTCCTCAGTATCATGGCCATGGTCTTGGTGGTATTCACAATACTGTTCCGTTGATCTGTGCGGATTAGGAGCCAAGGGCTTTGGTGTTGGTAGTTCATCCTTATGGATCTGGAGGATTTCCCGACGAGGCTTGGTTAAAGGGGTCAACTGTCTATCAAGCTTAGGCAATGTCGTCCTGTTTTCCATGGCAACCTTGGGCTTATTTGTCGTCCCAATGGCCATGAAGGCTCCTGAGATCGCTTGAATATGGTTCTCCACAATAGCCCACATCTCCTGAGAGT